AAAACCACAATTAGGCACTACCTTACCACCATCAGAATGGCTATTATTAAAAAGTTAAGAAACAGAACCAACGTCTGGACCAAGGGCGGCGGTGGCGGCGGTGACGATGGACGCCTTAGAAGAAGAGAGCTTCGCGCTGTCCTTTTCCTCCGCCTCTGATGCAGAATTTGATGCTGTGGTTGGCTATTTAGAGGACATTATCATGGATGATGAGTTCCAGATACTACAGAGAAATTTCATGGACAAGTACTACCAGGAATTTGAAGACACGGAAGAGAATAAACTCACCTACACACCTATTTTTAATGAATACATATTGAAGAACAGCTGCTCGAGCGGATTCCTGGATTTAACATGGCGGCTTTCACAACGTTACAGCACCATAAGGATGAAGTGGCTGGTGACATATTTGACATGCTGCTCACATTTACAGATTTTCTGGCTTTTAAAGAAATGTTTCTGGACTACAGAGCAGAAAAAGAAGGCCGGGGACCGGATTTAAGCAGTGGTTTAGTGGTGACTTCATTGTGCAGATCATCTTCTATGCCAACTTCCCAGAACAATCTACGGCACTAGACCCTACCTGCAGCCAATGAATGGGATCATTCTGGATGTCACTGGCCCAAGAGGCCAAAAGGCTCAGCTAATGATGACAGAAGAATACATCTTACTTAGAAAGACTGACTCTGTCCTGCATTCCTGTTAAGTATTGATGGGCCAAAAACAAAAGGACCTAACCCTCCTGGACCTGGTTATCCTGGAACAACTTCTTGTATTCATTAAGCCCTCCCCAGTGAGATCCCTCACTCAGGTGCTTCTGAGTCAGACTCCTCTGGAGCAAGCCCATGGTCAGGCATTCCACTTGGGGGACCCTTTCCCCAGCAAACATGTTGATGTGTCAGTAGTGTGGAATAACCCACCATTACGAGCCCTGTTTGTCCCCAGTAGACTTTGCATGAATTTTTTTTGTGCACTCACAGCTCTTTTTCACATGGGTCAGAATTTCAGTCCTTCAGCCTCATTGGTGTTTTGAGTATTTATCTAGCGTGTTATTCAAGCCAGCTGCCCGTCTTGAGATTTCCGAATCTCCTGATCACAGCTTGTCCTGGCTGTAGCAATCAACTGAAAGAGATGTCCTTTACCTAACATCAACTCCCTAGTCTCAACATTTGCAGTCCTTGTATCACTGTGTCTTCTGCTGGTCCTGATGTAATCCCACTGTTCTAGAAGTCTCTTAAGCATTATTTTTGAAAAAATATTTTTATAGATGAAATACTCAGGGTAACCTAGTGGACATGATCTTGGAACTTCCATGATTACCCACTTAAAGATCAAAGTATTATATGCTGTGTGCTTAGCTGTTCGTGCTATGAAGGCAAAAATGCTTTCTGTTTTGGCATTCATTCTTATTTTACTGGGCGCTGATGAATGTATGCTGTGTGCTGGAAATTGACTAAAAGCTATCCTGTTCTTAATCGCATGTTAAATGTGTTCGTGCACGTTTGCTGAAAATCCTTTCTGTATAAACCAGTTTGTCAGGTTTTCTATTGGGGTAGGTAGGGACTCCTAATTTCTTCTTGCTATCAAAATCTCTCCTACCGAGATGGTGTTCCACGCATCTAGCTCAGCATGAGTAGGACGTAGTAAACAGCTTTGCTGCTCATCTGTCTGCTTTGGTTTAATACAATGTTTGGTAGAATATTACGTATCAGAAAACATGTATATCACATCTCTAGAAAGAAGAAAAAACATAGTAGTTCAATTCCAATGTGTACCCTTGATTTTGTTTTTAAAATAAAAATCTGTACTGACTTTAAAAAAAAAGTTAACAAGCAATAGATGCTGGCACAGATAGGGTCAAAAGATAATGCTTATGTACTGTTAGTAGGAATGTAAATTAGTATAACCTCTATGGAAAACAGTGTGGAGATTCCTCAAAGAACTAAAAGTAGACCTACCATTCAATCTATCAATCCCATTACTGAGTATCTGCCCAAAGGAAAATAAGTCATTATATCAAAAAGACTCCTTCACTCGAATGTTAATTACAGAACAATACACAATTGCAAAGACATGAAATCAACCTAAGTGCCTATCAGCTGATGAGTGGGTAAAGAAAATGTGGTGTGTGTGTATACACACATGCACACATTGATATATATATATATATATATATATATATATATATATATATATATATATATATATATATGATGGAGTATTACTCAGCCATAAAAAGGAAAGAAATAATGTCTTTTGTAGCAATGTGGATAGAACTGGAGACCATTATCTGAAGTGAAATATCTCGGGAATGGAAAAACAAATACCACATGTTCTTACTTATAAGTGGCAGCTAAATAGTGGGTATATATGATCATAAACTGGTATGATGGACATTGGAAACTAAGAAGGGGGAGAGTGGAAGAGAGATGAAGGAGAAAAATTAACAGACACTGTTCTGATGATGGTTACACTACAAGCTCTGACTTCAACATTATACAATTCATCTGTGTGACAAAAAACACTTATACCCCCTAAATCTATTGAAAATAAACGAATAAAAGCTTTTACTACTGAAAAAAATTAGAAATATCAAGAAATAGAGCCAAATCACACAGTATGGGTTCTTTTAAAATACTAAGCATTTAAAATTAATTTTAGAATGAAAATCCAGAAGTGTGTCAGAAACTGATTATTTTAGTAATACTTCAAGGGATTATAATTACTAAGATCCAGGAGGAATCAACAAAGAGACCTCTTACTAGGAACCTCCCACATCTGCTCTAAGTTTGGAGAAGACAGTGTGGTTACAGCTGAAATAACCATGATTTACTAAGAGTTCAAGGGATCCCAAAATTTGACAATAGGTTAAAGCTAAAGAAAGAGAGCCATAAAATGGGTAAACAAATAGCAAGTATAGATATCAGGGATGGAGTAAACATCAGGTTAGGAATAAAAAGCTGAAAGAAGAAAGATACTGAACTAGACCTATAAATACAGAGGTAAAAACATGAGACAAGTTGTAGAAAATGGCAAATTTGGTCTCAAACAGGTCTAAGAGTTAGGACTTAGAAGTCTGAAGCAGTTGATGTGACATTGTCATGGGGAGCTGGAGGCTTTTATAGGTTGCAGTGCTCCATGGCTCATCCTTTTTTCCTTTGAAGAATATTTGACCCTTGTAAACTGGAGAATAGTATAGGCCCTAATAGTTTTTTTTTAGGTCCCTAGGGGCAATTTTTGCTATTTTGATATTACTTTCAGTAACTATTTATGATTCTTTTCCCTTTGAATTACTTGTAAAGTCATATGTTAGTGTTAGAAAGCATGGTCTGTTAATGATATAGAGAGTTTCCTTAGTGTCTATTTACATTAATAAAATTTCTTCCTTCAGATTTTGAGGGTTCCATTCTACTAATACTAGCCTACTCTATAAAAGTGGCATGGTGAACATCTAAAGCAAACCACCAAGTAAGAGTTTTGAGAGGTCAAGAACCACTAAGTAGTCTTCAGATGTAAAATGTATTTTCCTAAAATTGCCAAAGTTTAAATTAAAACAGTATATAATATTGAAATTACATAGCTATCTCGTAGTACATAATTATGACAGCACATTCCTTCTCCTAGTTCATTCCTTCAAAGTGAAATCAAGAGTAATTTAGCAAAAACAAATGATTTCTGATCGAGCTTCCAGCTACCAACAAAAATGATGTCCAGGACTTGGAGTTTGTAACTGGCTATACCTAATTTCAGCATTTATATAATATGAGCAAAGAATTTTTCCTTAAAGAATATTTTGTAAAAGGTACCTTATTTTCAAGTGCCCCTATTTTCTTTTTATTCTAAAACTACTTCTGCCTCAAAAGGATTTTAAATTTGGCAGGTTGGAGAAGGCATTGCCAAAAAGCAGGTGAGATTCATATGCTTTTTAAAGTTCAAGAATTATTATTCTGGGAATAATAAAGTACTAGTTCCAATTAGTATTTGTGCCTGTTGATCTGATTAGTAAATGAGTTTGTGTATGTATGTGTCATTTTCTCCCCAAAACTTTACTATATCATTAAATACATACTCTTCCTTTCAAATTGCCATTATTAGATATACCTTAAGATAATTTTTGTGAGACAGACATTATGAAGTAGATTCTCTTTCTTTTTTTTTCTTTTAATACACCTATTCCTTCGCTCAAGGAGAAGCAGATTCTATAATGTATAATATATATCTGATAAAATGGAGGTTAGAAATAATTCTTTTTATATTGTATCAATTTTAATATTAAAATGATGGTTTCAAAAATAATAACTAACATTTAAAATTCCTCACAAGAACTATTAGTTAGTTCTCACAAGAACTATTATATTTCCATTTTACAAAGAAGAAACTGAGGCATGGATGGGTTAAGTAACTTGCCCAAAGTTATGCACTTAGCAAAGCTGGAATTCTAACCCAGGCAATCTGACACCAGAATTCCATGTATATAATCATTAGCTTACTGTGTCCTATTTTGAGGACTCTAGAAAAAATAATCCTGAAAATAATACCTCCAAATCAATGATTCTCAGCGTTGAGTGTAGACTAGAATCATTTGGGGAACTTCAAAAGTACAGACTAGGTCCCAATCCCAGAGATTTTGATTTAATTAGTATAGGGTGTGGGCTGGGTTTTAGGAATTTAAAAAAACTCCTTAGGTTATTCCCAGGTACAGCCTATGTTGTGAACCATTGTCCTAGATATCTATTGCCAATGGGAATGTTGATGGCAAAAACCACACTGTGCATGCTTATCTGATTACAGTAGGAGTAAGACTAGTAAGTATATATTTAAAGCTATGAGAATATTTATTTCTGCAAAAATATTCATTTGATTGAATGATTGAATGTGTAGATATGGTGTTTCATGTATCGTGTTGTTTTGTTTGTTTAAATACAAATGTAGCCCACAGTCGTCTTGAACAAGAGACTACAGGGAGAAATAAAAGTACACAGCCAGATGAGCAACTGACTATGAATTCTGAGGAAAGTATGCATCAGAAATCCGATGAATTACTTAATGAAGTCACATATGAGGACACAGAACTCCTGGGGCAGAGATCAAGGAATTCTCAGGTCATCAGTCCTTATCCAGATGATGAGACAGCTTACTGCACTACTGAAAAATCCGAGTGAGTACTTGCAGCCTTAAATTTAGAAAGTATGAATTGGGAGAACTTTTTCTTCCTTCCTCTTTTCTTCCTTTGCTCACTTCCTTTCTTCTTTCCTTCTCTGTAATGTGGGCTGAATTTGACATGTCATTACCTTATTAGAATTTGAGGAATCTGCCAGGGTTTTTTACTGTTTCCATGGTATTGATATGTATCTAGATAGCTAAGTGAGAAAGCGCCAGGTGAGTTTGAAGAAAGGCAGTGAAGTTTCTTGTTCGATATTTTCTGTGATCTTTCATTATGGATGTGGAAATAATTGTTAAATTGATATTAATTTGGGATATTATTCAACAGAGCCAAAAACTGGCAGCTCTAAGACAAGTTAAGCCCAAAGATGTGTTTTGGTTTTGGTCAGCACTATTTTTTGTTTAAATGAATTTGAGTGCTTTTAGAAGGCATTGTACTATACCATTTGCTTTCCTTACTATTTTACATTCCATAGCTTTTACCCATTCACTTTTGCCTACCTAATTCATGAAGGGACTTGAATTTTTGATACCTGTGATGCTTATCTATGAGATTAAGATACTTTGATAATTAGTCATGTGCTTTGAAAATATTGTTAGATTTTAAAAGTTACAATGACAAATATAATTTCAGTCCAGACAAAATCATATTT